GCCGATATAGGCAGCCGGCGTCTTCCAGATGCCCGCCGCCTTGTCAGTCCCCATGCCGGCAGCCGGGGCACCAAAGGGCCCTTGGAATATTAAGCGGGTCCAGGGCGCGTTCGAGTGGCCGAGCACAGACTGGACATCCCCCTGGACGGCCGAGAATGAGGACGCGCGCGGGGCTCCTGCCTCGGAGGCCGGGCAATCACCGGCTGGGGGTCCTGACCCCGGTCGGGACTCGGGGGCTGCGCCGGCTGCGGGTCCAGCCCCGGGTGGCTGCGCGGGGGCGGGGGTGGTCTTAGCTGAGGGCTCAGGAGCTGGGCTGGCTGCGGGCGGGGGTGCGGGAGTGCCTGCGGCTGGATCCGCGGAGCCGGGGCCGTCCCCAGCGAAGGCCTGCTCCGTCTCGTGCGGACGCATCTTGAGTCCGCAATCGGCTGCTGCAGCCCGGCCTTTATAAACTATGTCTGGCGGGGCGGCCGCCGGGCCGTACCACGCGCTGGGAGGGGACGACTGAAGAGCAACCAGTAATGCGAGGGACAGAGGGGCGCGCGGAGGGGACGATTGTGCCAGAACAGACGGAAGAAACAAGCAAATGGCACGAAGAAGAGTCGAATGGGGGTTCCAGCTGGTTCTGTGGACTTGGGTTCGGAGAAAAGGATATCTCCCCCCTCTCCACCTCTGGAGAATGGTTCCACCCAAAGCTGCCGCTGCTTCCCGGGAACTCCGGGACACCGACTCGCGCGGGTCGCTAGTAGGGGTTCGAAATACACTCCCACCGTGGGGATTTTCGGTTGCCTTCCCTGATGTCTTTCCACCCACCCACCAGCCAACCCAACTTTTTAAATATGGTCTGAGGTGATCTGACTGAGAGAAATCCAAACTCCAGGACGGCTTTCACCTCCTTGCCCAGCTTGGCGCGTCGTATTGCCTTTCCTCGTGCTTTGCCTCCTACTTCCCTTTTCCCGCCTCTTGTCAACTTGGCAAACACCTGTTCTTCCGAGAGACCCAGCTTTAACGTCCCCTTCCCGTGAAGACTCCTCTGACCCCTGTAGTGATCAGTGTCTGTCTCCAAGACCAGACCTGCGCCCCCTCAGGGCGGAAACCATGTCCTTGGTACGCAGCACAGGACCTGAATCCCAGGAGGGTCTCCCCCGGTAAGTGCTGAATGAACTGTGGAACCTCACAGGAGTCCAGTGGCTATGTCTGTGCCTTTAGACTGGAGGAACCTACAGGCCAAAAAGAGGGCTGTGGCCCTGATTCTTTTCAAGC